ACTTCATCTCAGCCGCCGCCTCCACGGTCAGAGGACGCCGTCACCAACAAGAGCAACAAGAGCAAGAAGCCGCCCACCAAGAGCAAGCCGCCCAAGCCACCCAAGCCGCCGAAGGAACCTAAGTCTAAGAAAGAACCCAAGTCCAAGAAAGAAGTGAAGATCAAGGAGCCTAAAGAACTGAAACCTAGACGTTCCAGGTACCTGATTACCTTTTCCAGATATCTGATTACCTTTTCCAGATATCTGATTACCTTTTCCAGGTACCTGATTACCTTTTCTAGGCCTGCTCTGTTCAAGGCTTGTCTGATCAAGCAGGCTGTTACTGGCCAGCACGGTGCCCTGTTTTTTTCAATGGATTTATTTTATATTTTCCTGCATATTTCTTAATACAGTTATGGCAGTGTAAAACTAGTACCTCCAGAACCTTCCAGGTACAGTAGTCCCTCCAGAACCTTCCAGGTACAGTAGTCCCTCCAGAACCTTCCAGGTACAGTAGTCCCTCCAGAACCTTCCAGGTACAGTAGTCCAGAACCTTCCAGGTACAGTAGTCCCTCCAGAACCTTCCAGGTACAGTAGTCCCCTCAAATTCGCAGGAATTACATTCCAAGACCATCTGTGAATTATGGAAAAACTGCGAATTCTGGACGCGGTAAAAAAAGTTTGTTTATAGTTTAAACCCTAAATGTGCTCCCAAAACTTTAACTTCAAACACAGCTTCATACATCATCCTTAACAAAACAAAGAATGTGAAGATAAACGTGTATGTAGTACTGTACTGCTGTGTCTCCTGTAGTGCTGTACTGCTGTGTCTCCTGCAGTACTGTACTGCTGTGTCTCCTGCAGTACTGTACTGCTATGTCTCCTGTAGTACTGTACTGCTGTGTCTCCTGTAGTACTGTACTACTGTGTCTCCTGCAGTACTGTACTGCTGTGTCTCCTGCAGTACTGTACTGCTGTGTCTCCTGCAGTACTGTACTGCTGTGTCTCCTGCAGTACTGTACTGCTGTGTCTCCTGCAGTACTGTACTGCTGTGTCTCCTGCAGTACTGTACTGCTGTGTCTCCTGCAGTGCTGTACTGCTGTGTCTCCTGCAGTGCTGTACTGCTGTGTCTCCTGCAGTGCTGTACTGCTGTGTCTCTGCAGTGCTGTACTGCTGTGTCTCCTGCAGTGCTGTACTGCTGTGTCTCCTGCAGTGCTGTACTGCTGTGTCTCCTGCAGTGCTGTTACTGCTGTGTCTCCTGCAGTGCTGTACTGCTGTGTCTCCTGCAGTGCTGTACTGCTGTGTCTCCTGCAGTGCTGTACTGCTGTGTCTCCTACAGTGCTGTACTGCTGTGTCTCCTGCAGTGCTGTACTGCTGTGTCTCCTGCAGTGCTGTACTGCTGTGTCTCCTGCAGTGCTGTACTGCTGTGTCTCCTGCAGTGCTGTACTGCTGTTGTCTCCTGCAGTGCTGTACTGCTGTGTCTCCTGCAGTGCTGTACTGCTGTGTCTCCTGCAGTGCTGTACTGCTGTGTCTCCTGCAGTGCTGTACTGCTGTGTCTCCTGCAGTGCTAGAATGTAAAATGCCGATATAATTCATACAACTTTGGTATGTGTAGTACGGTAAATGTGCGGTAATAATTTAATTTAGTACAAGTAAAGCTAAATGGATACTCACAATAATATTTTATTATATTTTATATGGAAATTTTGCTGAATTTATGTTATATATTTGTTACAAAATTATTAAATTATATTTTTCTTACAGTATAAAATTCAGTACAGGTCCACATCCCTTTATCTGAAACCCTCGGCGCCAGTATTGTTTCGAATTCCAGAATGATTCTCAACACCGCCATGTGGCGGCGTGACCCAGCACTAATATGACCGACTCTCTACACTCCACGAAAAATTTCGCTTTTCGGAACTTTTCCAATTTCATAATTTTGGATAGTGATGTGGAGCTGTTCTAACAGCATAAAAAGTAATAACATGAAATACAAAAATAATAAAATCAAATCATTACAACAACTGTGATGATGACATACAGGAATCTTCTGGGTAGAAATGCTGACACAAACAAGAATAGCATAGAAACAAAAAAAAAATACACCAGAATAAATATTATCTAGCATAATATGATTTTCTTTCTTTTTGGTCACCGTGCCTCAGTGGGAGACGGCCAACTTGTTAAAAAAAAAAAAGAAAGAAAAAAAAATGTGAAGGCCTGTTGTGCAGATAGGAAAGTGTATTTATGGACACCTTCTTTCATCACTCTCACGAGAGAAAACTGACCTAGCACGAGGGTAAACTGTAATAGATACTCGTAGCTTATGAAAATACTGAAAAAAGATGATTTTTTTCGGGAAAAAAATATTTCCCCGAGTACTCGAGTAAGTTATTAGCGTATTTTGTGAAAGTCAGTCAATAATAATAAACGGATTGAAGTGATTTCCACAAAAACATAAAAGAATGATTGCTTTATAAGATTAAGATTTTTTTTTGAAGTATCCCTATCAGCAATTTTCTAAGGCTTGACTTGTGTTTATTTTGACTTGCGGCCGGTTGGACGGAACCAAGCTCGTTTGAAAGTCAGATCGTACCTGTATTGCCATGAAAAAAGCCAGAAAAAATTCCACGAATTTGCGGGGATTTTCGCGAACAATTATTAGTTAGGTTCTAAGAAAAAATCTCCAAATTACCGAAGCCATGAATTCACTTTATATATTATGGTATATATTATGATATATCTCCACTCCACTAACTAGTCCCTCTAGAACCTTCCAGGTATATATTATCATGTATCTCCTCCACTAACTAGTCCCTCTAGAACCTTCCAGGTATATATTATCATGTATCTCCTCCACTAACTAGTCCCTCTAGAACCTTCCAGGTATATATTATCATGTACCTCTCCTCCACTAACTAGTCCTTCTAGAACCTTCCAGGTATATATTATCATGTATCTCCTCCACTAACTAGTCCCTCTAGAACCTTCCAGGTATATATTATCATGTACCTCTCCTCCACTAACTAGTCCTTCTAGAACCTTCCAGGTATATATTATCATGTACCTCTCCTCCACTAACTAGTCCCTCTAGAACCTTCCAGGTATATATTATCATGTATCTCCTCCACTGACTACATATTTAGGACTATGGAAAATTTCTTGTAATTTAAATGCTTTATTGGCTCTGTGTTCCAGTTGTGATCTCTGATGTTGTTCCAGTTGTGATCTCTGATGTTGTTCCAGTTGTGATCTCTGATGTTGTTCCAGTTGTGATCTCTGATGTTGTTCCAGTTGTGATCTCTGATGTTGTTCCATTTGTGATCTCTGATATTGTTCCAGTTGTGATCTCTGATATTGTTCCAGTTGTGATCTCTGATGTTGTTCCAGTTGTGATCTCTGATGTTGTTCCAGTTGTGATCTCTGATATTGTTCCAGTTGTGATCTCTGATATTGTTCCAGTTGTGATCTCTGATATTGTTCCAGTTGTGATCTCTGATGTTCCAGTTGTGATCTCTGATGTCGTTCCAGTTGTGATCTCTGATGTCATTCCAGTTGTGATCTCTGATGGCATGAATGAGGCTGTCATCACTGAACAGTGTTGTTCCAGTTGTGATCTCTGATGTTGTTCCAGTTGTGATCTCTGATGTTGTTCCATTTGTGATCTCTGATGTTGTTCCATTTGTGATCTCTGATATTGTTCCAGTTGTGATCTCTGATGTTGTTCCAGTTGTGATCTCTGATGTTGTTCCAGTTGTGATCTCTGATATTGTTCCAGTTGTGATCTCTGATATTGTTCCAGTTGTGATCTCTGATATTGTTCCAGTTGTGATCTCTGATGTTCCAGTTGTGATCTCTGATGTCGTTCCAGTTGTGATCTCTGATGTCGTTCCAGTTGTGATCTCTGATGTCGTTCCAGTTGTGATCTCTGATGTTGTTCCAGTTGTGATCTCTGATGGCATGAATGAGGCTGTCATCACTGAACAGTGTTGTTCCAGTTGTGATCTCTGAGACCCTGAACAAGGCTGTCATCACTGAACAGTGTTGTTCCAGTTGTGATCTCTGAGACCCTGAACAAGGCTGTCATCACTGAACAGTGTTGTTCCAGTTGTGATCTCTGAGACCCTGAACAAGGCTGTCATCACTGAACATTTAGCAAGAGTGTACAAGTGATTTGAAAAGTGTCACCATAGGCACACTTTCCCTTGTTTTGAAAGATCTCATTATCCAGTCTCATTTTCATGGCTGTCATATTTCTGGCTGTCATATTTCTGGCTGTCATATTTCTGGCTGTCATATTTCTGGCTGTCATATTTCTGGCTGTCATATTTCTGGCTGTCATATTTCTGGCTGTCATATTTCTGGCTGTCATATTTCTGGCTGTCATATTTCTGGCTGTCATATTTCTGGCTGTCATATTTCTGGCTGTCATATTTCTGGCTGTCATATTTCTGGCTGTCATATTTCTGGCTGTCATATTTCTGGCTGTCATATTTCTGGCTGTCATATTTCTGGCTGTCATATTTCTGGCTGCCATATTTCTGGCTGCCATATTTCTGGCTGCCTATTTCTGTGCATATTCTGGCTGCCATATTTCTGGCTGCCATATTTCTGGCTGCCATATTTCTGGCTGCCATATTTCTGGCTGCCATATTTCTGGCTGCCATATTTCTGGCTGCCATATTTCTGGCTGCCATATTTCTGGCTGCCATATTCGGCTCATTTCTGGCTGCCATATTTCTGGCTGCCATATTTCTGGCTGCCATATTTCTGGCTGCCATATTTCTGGCTGTCATTTTCCTGGCTGTCATTTTCCTGGCTGTCATGATATTTGCCTTACTGTGATCTTTGAAAGAAGGATCAGCTTGCATTATTATTCCCAAATCTTTCATTGTATTTGGTGATCTTGTGTTTTGTACACACTGAGTTCTTCACTATTGTATATCGACAGTATATTCTGCAGGTTGTTAAGACTTTTATCTATCTGGTGTAGGATTCTGCAGGTTGTTAAGACTTTTATCTATCTGGTGTAGGATTCTGCAGGTTGTTAAGACTTTTATCTATCTGGTGTAAGATTCTGCAGGTTGTCAAGACATCTATCTATCTGATGTAGGATTCTGCAGGTACTAGTTAAGTACAGTACTTGTACCATACAGTACTTGTACCGTATAGTACTTGTACCGTATAGTACTTGTACTGTACAGTACTTGTACCGTACAGTACTTGTACCGTTCAGTACTTGTACCGTTCAGTGCTTGTACCATACAGTGCTTGTACCATACAGTACTTGTACCGTTCAGTACTTGTACTGTTCAGTACTTGTACCATACAGTACTTGTACCATACAGTACTTGTACCATACAGTACTTGTACCATACAGTACTTGTACCATACAGTACTTGTACCGTTCAGTACTTGTACCGTTCAGTACTTGTACCGTTCAGTACTTGTACCATACAGTGCTTGTACCATTCAGTACTTGTACCGTTCAGTACTTGTACCGTACAGTGCTTGTACCGTACAGTACTTGTACCATACAGTGCTTGTACCATACAGTACTTGTACCGTACAGTACTTGTACCGTACAGTACTTGTACCATACAGTACTTGTACCATACAGTACTTGTACCATACAGTACTTGTACCGTACAGTACTTGTACCGTACAGTACTTGTACCGTACAGTACTTGTACCGCTACTTGTAGTACTTGTACCGTAACAGTACTTGTACCGTTCAGTACTTGTACCGTACAGTACTTGTACCGTACAGTACTTGTACCGTACAGTACTTGTACCGTACAGTACTTGTACCATTCAGTACTTGTACCGTTCAGTACTTGTACCGTTCAGTACTTGTACCGTACAGTGCTTGTACCATACAGTGCTTGTACCATACAGTACTTGTACAGTACTTGTACTGTACAGTGCTTGCACTGTACTTGTACCGTACTGTACCTGTATGGTACAGTACTTCTACTGTACTGTACTTGTATGGTACAGTACTTGTACCTTGCTGTACTTGTGTGGTACAGTACTTGTACTTACTGTACCTTGTATGGTACAGTAATAACGTAGTAACTTTACTGTACTGTACTTGTATGGTACAGTACTTTACTGTACCGTACTTGTATGGTACAGTACTTTTATCGTACATACTTGTATGGTACAGTACAGTACTTTCACTGTACCATACTTGTATGGTACAGTACTTTTACTGTACCATACTTGTATGGTACAGTACTTTTACTGTACTGTACTTGTATGGCACAGTACTTATACTGTACCGTACTTGTATGGTACAATACTTGTATGGTACAATACTTGTATGGTACAATACTTGTATGGTACAATACTTGTACCGTACAGTACTTGTACCGTACAGTACTTGTACCGTACAGTACTTGTACCGTACAGTACTTGTACCGTACAGTACTTGTACCGTACAGTACTTGTACCGTACAGTACTTGTATGGTACAATACTTGTATGGTACAATACTTGTACGGTACAATACTTGTATGGTACAATACTTGTATGGTTCAATACTTGTATGGTACAATACTTGTATGGTACAGTACTTGTATGGTACAGTACTTGTATGGTACAGTACTTGTACGGTACAGTACTGTACTTATACAGTATGCCTGCCTGGAGGGGGTCAACCTGGAGGGCATTCTGGGGATCAATGCCCCCGCGGCCCGGTCCATGACCAGGCCTTGCAGTTTATCAGGGCCTGATGAATGAGGCTGTTACTGCTGGCCGCACGCAATCCAACGTATGAATCACAGCCCGGCTGATCCGGCACCGTCTTTAGATATCTGTCAAGCTCCGTCTTGAAGACAACTAGGGGTCTACCAGTAATGACCCTTATTGCTGGTGGGAGGCTGTTGAATAGTCTTGGGCCCTGGACACTTATTGCATTTTCTCTTATGGTACAGTATAGTACTTGTGCGGTACAGTACTTGTATGGTGCGGTACAGTACTTGTGTGGTACAGTACAGTACTTGTGTGGTACAGTACAGTACTTGTGCTGTACAGTACAGTACTTGTGTGGTACAGTACTTGTGCAGTACAATACAGTACTTGTACAGTACAGTACTTGTGCGGTACAGTACAGTACTTGTACAGTGCTTGTGTGGTATAGTTCAGTAATCGTGCGATACCGTACAGTGCTTGTGCGGTACCGTACAGTGCTCGTGCGGTACCGTACAGTGCTCGTGCGGTACCGTACAGTGCTCGTGCGGTACCATACAATGCTCGTGCGGTACCGTACAGTGCTTGTGCGGTACTGTACAGTGCTTGTGCGGTACCGTACAGTGCTCGTGCAGTACTGTACAGTGCTCGTGCGGTACCGTACATTGCTCGTCGGTCGTCGTGCTCGTGCGGTACCGTCAGTGCTCGTGCGTACCGTTCAGTGCTCGTGCGGTACCGTACAGTGCTCGTGCGGTACCGTTCAGTGCTCGTGCGGTACCGTACAGTGCTCGTGCGGTACCGTACAGTGCTTGTGCGGTACAGTACAGTACTGCATTATTTCTTGAGCTAACACTTAAGTACAGCAAAGTGTCTGATATAAAGCTGTAGTCCTGTATTCTTGACTGTAACTTGATCACACTGGAACACTGTCTTCTGGCAGGAGACCACTGTCACTACCACTGTCACTACCCTGGTACTACCACTGTCACTATCACTGTAGTCCTGTGTTCTTGACTGACTGTAACTTGATCACACTGGAACACTGTCTTCTGGCAGCAGACCACTTGTCACTACCACTGTCACTACCCTGGTACTACCACTGTCACTATCACTGTAGTCCTGTGTTCTTGACTGACTGTAACTTGATCACACTGAAACACTGTCTTCTGGCAGTAGACCACTGTCACTACCTCTGTCACTGCCCCTGTCACTACCTCTGTCACTGCCCCTGTCACTACCTCTGTCACTGCCCCTGTCACTACCTCTGTCACTGCCCCTGTCACTACTCTGGTACTACCACTGTCACTACCCTGGTTGTAGATGTTTTCATTAGGTCTGAACAGTGTTGTACCGACATCGTTGTTTGAACAGTGTTGTACCGACAGCGTTGTTTGAACAGTGTTGTACTGACAGCATTGTTTGAACAGTGTTGTACCGACAGCGTTGTCTGAACAGTGTTGCAATGACAGCATTGTCTGAACAGTGTTGCATCGACAGCGTTGTCTGAACAGCGTTGTACCGACAGCGTTGTCTGAACAGTGTTGTTCTGACAGCGTTGTCTGAGCAGTGTTGTTCCGACAGCGTTGTCTGAACAGTGTTGTTCCGACAGCGTTGTCTGAGCAGTGTTGTTCCGACAGCGTTGTCTGAACAGTGTTGTTCCGACAGCGTTGTCTGAACAGTGTTGTTCCGACAGCGTTGTCTGAACAGTGTTGTACCGACAGCGTTGTTTGAACAGTGTTGTACTGACAGCATTGTTTGAACAGTGTTGTACCGACAGCGTTGTCTGAACAGTGTTGCAATGACAGCATTGTCTGAACAGTGTTGCATCGACAGCATTGTCTGAACAGCGTTGTACCGACAGCGTTGTCTGAACAGTGTTGTTCTGACAGCGTTGTCTGAGCAGTGTTGTTCTGACAGCGTTGTCTGAACAGTGTTGTTCCGACAGCGTTGTCTGAGCAGTGTTGTTCCGACAGCGTTGTCTGAACAGTGTTGTTTCCGACAGCGTTGTCTGAACAGTTGTTGTTCCGACAGCGTTGTCTGAACAGTGTTGTTCCGACAGCGTTGTCTGAACAGTGTTGTTCCGACAGCGTTGTCTGAACAGTGTTGTTCCGACAGCGTTGTCTGAACAGTGTTGTTCCGACAGCGTTGTCTGAACAGTGTTGTTCCGACAGCGTTGTCTGAACAGTGTTGTTCCGACAGCGTTGTCTGAACAGTGTTTTTCCGACAGCGTTGTCTGAACAGTGTTGTTCCGACAGCGTTGTCTGAACAGTGTTGTTCCGACAGCGTTGTCTGAACAGTGTTGTTCGACAGCGTTGTCTGAACAGTGTTGTTCCGACAGCGTTGTCTGAACAGTGTTGTTCGACAGCGTTGTCTGAACAGTGTTGTTCCGACAGCGTTGTCTGAACAGGTTGTACGACAGCGTTGTCTGAACAGTGTTGTTCGACAGCGTTGTTCTGAACAGTGTTGTTCCGACAGCGTGTCTGAACAGTGTTGTTCCGACAGCGTTGTCTGAACAGGTGTTTTCCGACAGCGTTAAGTCCTGCACATGTATTCGACAGGTTGCGAACGTGTGTTCCGACAGCTTGGCACATTGGATCACAAGCTGTCGAACTAGTGGCCGAACGTCGTCTGAACTTCTGTCAACAGGTGTCGACTTTGTGAACCAGGTTGTCGCTGTTGTTTCCGACAGCGTTGTCTGAACAGTGTTGTTCCGACAGCGTTGTCTGAACAGTGTTGTTCCGACAGGTTGTCTGTACAGTGTTGTTACCGAGAAGCAGGCAGAACAGGTTGTTCCGCAGGTTTGTCTGACTGTGTTACTGTCAGCTGTTGGAACTGGGTGTCGCAGCACTGTTCGCGTGTGTCCACACTGTCTGAACGTGTAGTCCGACACGGTACATGAAACGTTTTCTAACAGTGTGTAGTTTTGCAGTGACCGAAATCAAGAGCCAGAAACCTGTAGCAGTGAGTGTGCGGCAGGTTTGCATATGGTATTCTCCTGTGTACATGCACTGTGTTGTGCACTGCGGCACTGATGGATCCACTGTGACACTGGAGCTAGACCTAACCAAGACACTGTAACAGGTTGTGTGTCTCCACCAAGTGTAGTGTGTGGGGTTAAAATGTAGTCCACTGGTTTGCAGTGTACCAGCCTGTGTGTGTGCATGTGGTTCTGATGCATGTCGCACTGTGTTACTGTGTATCAACTAAGTGGTAAGAAACTGTGGTTCACAGTAGAGTGACCTAGCCTGTGGTGTGCTGGGGTTCATTATGGTTCTTGAGTGTACCAGCCTGTGTGTGTGTGCTGGGGTCATCATGGCACTGGTTCTTGAGTGTACCAGCCTGTGTGTGTGTGTGTCTGTGCTGTGTGTGTGCTGGGTTCTCATGTCCACTGGTTCTTGAGTGTACCAGCCTGTGTGTGTGTGTGTGGTGGTGTGATTGTGTGTGTGCTTAAGTGTGTACCAGCCTGTGTGTGTGCTGGGGTTCATCACTGGTTCTTGAGTGTACCAGCCTGTGTGTGTGTGTGCTGGGGTTCATTATGGTTCTTGAGTGTACCAGCCTGTGTGTGTGCTGGGGTTCATCACTGGTTCTTAAGTATACCAGCCTAGTGGGTGTGTGCTGGGGTTCGTCATGGTCCACTGGTTCTTGAGTGTACCAGCCTAGTGTGTGTGTGTGTGTGTGTGTGTGTGCGTGTGCTGGGGTTCGTCATGGTCCACTGGTTCTTGAGTGTACCAGCCTAGTGTGTGTGTGTGTGTGTGTGTGCTGGGGTTCGTCATGGTCCACTGGTTCTTGAGTGTACCAGCCTGTGTGTGTGTGCTGGGGTTCATTATGGTTCTTGAGTGTACCAGCCTGTGTGTGTGTGTGTGTGTGCTGGGGTTCATCATGGTCCACTGGTTCTTGAGTGTACCAGCCTAGTGTGTGTGTGCTGGGGTTCATCATGGTCCACTGGTTCTTGAGTGTACCAGCCTGTGTGTGTGTGTGTGTGTGTGTGTGTGCGTGTGTGTGTGTGGGGTTCATCATGGTCCACTGGTTCTTGAGTGTACCAGCCTAGTGTGTGTGGCTGGGGTTCATCATGGTCCACTGGTTCTTGAGTGTACCAGCCTGTGTGTGTGTGTGGTTGTGTGTGGTGTGTGTGTGTGTGTGTGTGTGTGTGTGTGTGTGCTGGGGTTCATTATGGTTCTTGAGTGTACCAGCCTGTGTGTGTGCTGGGGTTCATTATGGTTCTTGAGTGTACCAGCCTGTGTGTGTGCTGGGGTTCATCACTGGTTCTTGAGTGTACCAGCCTGTGTGTGTGTGTGTGTGTGTGTGTGTGTGTGTGTGTGTGTGTGTGTGTGTGTGTGTGTGCTGGGGTTCATTATGGTCCACTGGTTCTTGAGTACCAGCCTAGTGTGTGTGTGTGTGTGTGTGTGTGCTGGGGTTCATCATGGTCCACTGGTTCTTGAGTGTACCAGCCTAGTGTGTGCGTGCTGGAGTTCGTCATGGTCCACTGGTTCTTGAGTGTACCAGCCTAGTGTGTGTGTGTGTGTGTGTGCTGGAGTTCGTCATGGTCCACTGGTTCTTGAGTGTACCAGCCTAGTGTGTGTGTGTGTGTGTGTGTGTGTGTGTGCGTGCGTGTGTGTGTGTGTGTGCGTGTGTGTGTGTGTGTGTGCTGGAGTTCATCATGGTCTGCTGGTTCTTGAGTGTACCAGCCTAATGTGTGTGCTGGGGTTCAAGTCATGGTTCATTCTGCTGCTAGCAGACAGTGCTGCTTCACTTGCTGAAGCAGGTTGTTGGTGCTAGCAGTCAGTGCTTAATGGTGTTCATCTCTGCAGGTTGTCGCTAAACTTCAAGCGTAAAAGGAAGCGTCGTGGGTCCGAGTCGGACTTCTCCGACCTCGAGGGAAGTGGCATTGTGTGCGGTGGTGGTGTTCACAAGGAAGAAGATGAAGTTAACAAGAGAAGATCAGGACGAAACACGCTACGCAAGAAGTATGTTGATGAACTTGACTTAAACCTTTCTGATGATGACAACTTTGTCATCAAGAACAATGGCAAGAATAACAGTGGCGGCGGCGACCCCCAGAGTGCTGCCGACCTCGCTGCCGCTTACACCGGCAACACCGCCACAACAACCACAACAACCATCTCCGATGAAGTAGAAGGCAACCTGGTGAAACCTAACTTTGTTTATGTGGTGAGTCCCCCCACATGTCTCTGTGAGTCCCCCCACATGTCTCTGTGAGTCCCCCCACATGTCTCTGTGAGTCCCCCCACATGTCTCTGTGAGTCCTCCCACATGTCTGTGAGTTCCCCCACATGTCTGTGTGTCCCCCCACATGTCTGTGTGAGTCCCCCACATGTCTGTGCGAGTCGCCCCCACATGTCTGTGCGAGTCGCCCCCACATGTCTGTGCGAGTCGCCCCCACATGTCTGTGCGAGTCGCCCCCACATGTCTGTGCGAGTCGCCCCCACATGTCTGTGCATCCCCCCACATGTCTGTGCGAGTCCCCCCACATGTCTGTGCGAGTCCCCCCACATGTCTGTGCGAGTCCCCCCACATGTCTGTGCGAGTCCCCCCACATGTCTGTGTGAGTCCTCCCACATGTCTGTGTGAGTCCCCCCCACATGTCTGTGCGAGTCCCCCACATGTCTGTGTGAGTCCCCCCACATGTCTGTGCGAGTCCCCCACATGTCTGTGCGAGTCCCCCCACATGTCTGTGCGAGTCCCCCCACATGTCTGTGCGAGTCCCCCCACATGTCTGTGCGAGTCCCCCCACATGTCTGTGCGAGTCCCCCCACATGTCTGTGCGAGTCCCCCCACATGTCTGTGCGAGTCCCCCCACATGTCTGTGCGAGTCCCCCATGTCTGCGAGTCCCCCCACATGTCTGTGCGAGTCCCCCCACATGTCTGTGCGAATCACTGTGATAGTTACAATGACCAGTCACCCTCATGATAGTTATGATGACCACCCTCATGATGGTTATAATGACCAGTCACCCACATGATGGTTATAATGACCAATCACCCACATGATGGTTATAATGACCAATCACCCACTTGGGTAGTTATGATGACCAGTCACCCACTTGATAGTTATGACCAGTCATCCACACATCTGGGGTGTAGACATGTGGTCTTGGGTGTTCCATAAACAAGTATTGAATGTTCCAAACACTGTTGAAACACTTAAGTGATCTTTAACCCTTTCAGGGTCCGTGCCGTAGATCTACGGCTTTACTTTCAGGGTCCAAACCGTAGATCTACGCCATGAGCTCAGCTCACTCTGATAAGCTGTGAGTGGTAAATTTGGGCCTAGATATGAGAGAATACATCTATGTGGTATGTGTGCACCACATAAAACAAACCCTGCAGCACACTGTGTATAATGAGAGAAAAAAAACTGAGACCGTGATTTATGATTAAAACAGCTACTTTGCAGTGTTTTTTCCTATGTTTTTTATGGTTGTATTTGCAATTTCTTGGCCTCATTTGATAGAATGGAAGACATATTACAGAAATAGAGATGATTTTGATTGGCTTTAGCACTGGAAATGGTTTGAAACTGAGCTCAAAGTAGTGGAAATGTTAAATTTTTGCCGATGTTCAAGAGTAAACAAACGACCTCACACGTCTAATACACATCAGCTGGTGGGTCTAATATACATTCACAAATGTGGTGATGATATTTATACAATTATTACAATATTGCATAACAGTAAATCTTCTATTTTTTAGTGTGAATAAAAATTCATTGTGAATAAAAAATCAAAATGGAATTCACTTGTAACTAATGAACAGAGGAAATGTTAGTTTAGTGCCAGGAATACCAACATTGTTTATTCTGGACCCTATTTTGAAATTGGAATATTTTGAACTTTGTGTTAAATTGGCCAAATTACCAATTTCCGATCACTTTATTTTGTAGTTGAGAAAGTTGACCTGGCGATTTCTTGTGCTCAATCGATAGAATAGAAGTAATACTAGTGAAATAGCTAAGAATTTGGTCGACTGGAATAATGTAATTGGCCTAAAATGGGAGTCAAAGTCGGCAAAATCGCCAATTCGTAAATATCAGACACATCAAAATTCGCAAGAGCATAATTTAGTCAATTTTCCATCAAATTTCGTACTTTTTGTTTTATTACCTTCAGAAAAAGATTCTCTACCATTTCATAAGAAAAAATAACAAAATTTTTTTTTTTAAATTCTTGGACCCTGGTGTGCACATTGAAATTTGGCCTCTGGACCCTGAAAGGGTTAAGGCTCACTCTTAGTGTTTTAAGACCACACAAGACACTATGGTAGTACACTATATTTGTTTTGACATAGGTTGTAGTGTTTCAGGATGCTAACAGTGAAGACACTATGGTGGTACACTGTACTTGTTTCAGGATGCTAACAGTGAAGACACTATGGTGGTACAGAGCATCCTGGGTATGAGGACCGGTCAGAGAGAGGTAGAGACGGACACAGACGATGATCTCCAGCAGACAGAACAAGCCGGTAATTATAATATATATTTTGTTCTCTTTATCCAATATTCTTTATTTCTTTGTCATCTTTTGCATCTTTATCAGATCTTCTGTTGATGGTGATATTGTTAACCTGTTTAGGGACTGTACCATAGTACTGTGTGATAAGTTCAGGGTCTATACCATAGTACTGTGTGATAAGTTCAGGGACTGTACCATAGTACTGTGTGATAAGTTCAGGGTCTGTACCATAGTACTGTGTGATAAGTTCAGGGTCTGTACCATAGTACTGTGTGATAAGTTCAGGGTCTGTACCATAGTACTGTGTGATAAGTTCAGGGTCTGTACCATAGTACTGTGTAAAGTTTAGGGTCTGTGCCATAGTACTGTGTAATAAGTTCAGGGTCAGTACCATAGTACAGGATGACTATCACTAATCCAGCATCATAGGGACCTGTAGTGTGCCGGATCAGTGATTTTGTTGCATTAGAGTGTGGTTAGGTTAGAATACACTTAACCCAACAGCTAACCATCTCATACTACCTTTAAAATACCCCATAAATCAGTACAAGTTGGTTAACCCTTTCCGTCATGACTCCTGCTGCTCGCAAGCTTTCTCCCAGTGTTAAAGAATTGAAAAAAAAAAATTTGAGGGAAAACTTGCAGAATTATGCTCTCACAAAGTTAGCGATCTCAGCGACATTTACGCATCGGAGATTTCGCCCACTTTATGCCCAGTCGACCAAATTCATGGCTATTTTGCTAGTATTCCTTCTATTCTCTTGATTGAGTACAAGAAACTGCCCATTTACCTATTTCAAGTACCAAATAGTGATCAGAAATTGGTAATTTGGCCAATTACACAAAATTTCAAGAGATGTCAGTTTCAGAATAGCGTCGAGAACAAACAGTGCAGACATTCTTGGGACTAATTAACATTTCCTTTATTCATCAGTCATGTCTCCCGACGCCTCTTATATTATGCTTTCTTTCTGTTCTGAATTTTTATTCTTACAAAAAAAACAGAAGATATGCTGTTATGCAGATTACTGCATTATTGTATAAATAATATCAGCCCATTCATGACTGCGTATTAGACCAGCCAGTTGGACACACATTGGATGCATGATGTGATTGGTTTACTCTTGAACATTGGCAAAAATTGAACATTTCCACTTTTTTGAACTCAGTTTCAAGGTACTTTCTGTCCTGAAACCATTCAAAATCATCTCTTATTTCTTTAATAGCTTCCATTTCATCAGATAAGACCAAAAAACCGAGAATACAGTCAATATTTTATACCAAAAACACGGTCGCCTTTTTTTTTTTTTCTTGTGTACTGTGTGATGCAGGATTTTTTTTATATAGTGCACACTTCCCACATAGTTGTATTCTCGCAACTAGGCCCAGATTTAACGCTCACAGCTTATCTGAGTGAGCTGAGCTAGTGGCGTCATACTATGGGACCGACAGCGGCCTCAAAGCCATGATACAATAGGATGACAATGCAAGAGTTAATGTTAACCAATTTGACTTATAAGAAAGTTCATCACTGACGCTTCCAAAGTGAAGAGCAGAAGTTTAAAACTTAGCAGGTTTCACTTACACGTAACGTAAAGCACTTCATCAGAACTTGATGAACTCTTTCCTTGACTCACGAAATCGTAATGACACGATTGCAAACAAACCATACCCCGGCCGGGATTGAACCCGCGGTCATAGTCATAGACGAATCTTATTGTGGCTAGCTGGTCTAGTGGCTAACGCGACGGGCTGGAGTTTTGAGATTCTATGACCGCGGGTTCAATCCCAGCCGGGGTATGGTTAACTCTTTCCTTCCTTCATTATTTTCTTTTACACATCTGTTTCTTTGAAACATTATTAGCAAAGAAATAATTTGATTATTATACAGAGAATTCTAAGTTGAGAAATTATAATGTGATGCAAGTTGATCCAGGGCAGGTAGATGGTGAGGTGAAGATGACTTGTAGAGGTGGCAAGGGCAGGTAGATAGAAGGGGGAAGGTTGGTAAAGAAGGTGTGTAAATCTGAGGTGGAAAGAAAAGGAAGGGGTTTTGCCAGAGACGGTAGGAGGCAAGAGTTACCAGAATGTTGGAGGTTTTAGAGGCTTGACCATCCTTCAGTGACCATCCTGTGAGTGTCTTGGATAACAGAAAGTGGTGACAATTGGGATTTAATTGACCTAGTGTTGAAGTGTGAGCCAATTATTTGTTATGAAAAGATTCAGGGAAACCATTTAGCCAGACTTTGTCCTAGAGGTGAGAAGTACAGTGCCTGTACTCTGAAGGATGAGTGAGGATGTTAGTCCTGGTGGTGAGAAGTACAGTACCTAAAGTCTGAAGGATGAGTGAGGATGCTACAGTCCTGGAGGTGAGAAGTACAGTGCCTGTACTCTGAAGGATGAGTGAGGATGTTAGTCCTAGTGGTGGAAGTTCAGTGCTTGTACTCTGAAGGATGAGTGAGGATGCTACAGGTCTGGGGGTGGGAAGTACAGTGCCTATACTCTGAAGGATAAGTGAGGATCCTATAGTCCTTGAGGTGGGAAGTACAGTGCCTGTACTCTGAAGGATGAGTGAGGATGCTACAGTCCTGATGGTGGGAAGTACTGTGCCTGTACTCTGAAGGATGAGTGAGGATGCTTCAGTCCTGGAGGTGGGAAGTACAGTGCCCATACTCTGAAGGATGAGTGAGGATGCTACAGTCCTGTAGGTGGGAAGTACAGTGCCTGTACTCTGAAGGATGAGTGAGGATGTTAATCCTGGAGGTGGGAGATACAGTACCTACACTCTGAAGGATGGGTGAGGATGTTAATCCTGGTGGTGGAAAGTGCAGCACCTGTTCTCTGAAGGATGAGTAAGGATGTTAGTCCTGGAATTGGGAAGTACAGTACCTATTACAAACACAGGTTATGAATGGCCTCTGACTTGATCATAAAGGCCTGCGACTTGATCATAAAGGCCTGCAACTTGATCATAAAGGCCTGCGACTTGATCACAAAGGCCTGCGACTTGATCACAAAGGCCTGCGACTTGATCACAAAGGCCTGCGACTTGATCACAAGCCTGCGAACTGATCACAAAGGCTGCGAACTTGATCACAAAGGCCTGCGACTTGATCACAAAGGCCTGCGACTTGATCACAAAGGCCTGCGACTTGATCACAAAGGCCTGCGACTTGATCACAAAGGCCTGCGACTTGATCACAAAGGCCTGCGACTTGATAAACAAAGGCCTGCGACTTGATCACAAAGGCCTGCGACTTGATCACAAAGGCCTGCGACTTGATAAACAAAGGCCTGCGACTTGATCACAAAGGCCTGCGACTTCATACAAAGCCTGCGACTTAATCACAAAGGCCTGCGACTTAATCACAAAGGCCTGCGACTTGATCACAAAGGCCTGCGACTTGATCATAAAGGCCTCTGACTTGGTCACAATAGATTTTGGAGGAAGACAAGACAGAATGAGAGATAGAGATAAATAGAGATAGATAGAGATAGAGATAGATAGAGATAGATAGAGATAGAGATAGATAGAGATAGATAGAGATAGATAGAGATAGATAGAGATAGATAGAGATAGAGATAGATAGAGATAGATAGAGATAGAGATAGAGATAGAGATAGAGATAGAGATAGAGATAGATAGAGATAGATAGAGATAGATAGAGATAGATAGAGATAGATAGAGATAGATAGAGATAGATAGAGATAGATAGAGATAGATAGAGATAGATAGAGATAGATAGAGAGATAGATAGAGATAGATAGAGATAGATAGAGATAGAGATAGATAGAGATAGATAGAGATAGATAGAGATAGATAGAGATAGAGATAGATAGAGATAGATAGAGATAGAGATAGAGATAGAGATAGAGAGATAGAGAGATAGAGATGGGAGATAGAGATGAAAGAGATAGAGAGAGAGATAGAGAGAGAGAAGAGAGAGAGATAGATATATATATATAGATATATATATATATATTGAACAAAAGTACCAACCACTCCAACACTATATCCCCCCCTGCTTTTAACATTTCTGTCATGATCCCATCAGTACCAGCTGCTTTACCCCCTTTCATTCTACGTAATGCCTCACGTACCTCCACCACACTTACATTCTGCTCTTCTTCACTCCTAAAAGATGGTATACCTCCCTGGCCAGTGCATGAAATTACCGCCTCCCTTTCTTCCTTAACATTTAAAAGTTCCTCAAATATTCTCGCCATCTACCTGATACCTCCCTCTCCCCATCTACTAACTCCCCTACTCTGTTTTTAACTGACAAATCCATACTTTCCCTAGGCTTTCTTAACTTGTTTAACTCACTCCAAAATTTTTTCTTATTTTCATTAAAATTTCTTGACAGTGCCTCTCCCACTCTTTCATCTGCTCTCCTTTTGCACTCTCTCACCACTCTCTTCACCTTTCTTTTACTCTCCATATACTCTGCTCTTCTTATAACACTTCTGCTTTGTAAAAACCTCTCGTAAGCTACCTTTTTCTCTTTTATCACACCCTTTACTTCATCATTCCACCAATCACTCTCTTTCCTCCTGCCCCCACCCTCCTATAACCACAAACTTCTGCCCACATTCTAATACTGCATTTTTAAAACTATTCCAACTCTCTTCAACCCCCCCACTACTCATCTTTGCACTAGCCCACCTTTCTGCCAACAGTCGCTTATATCTCCCCCGAACTTCCTCCTCCCTTAGTTTATACACTTTCACCTCCCTCTTACTTGTTGTTGCCACCTTCCTCTTTTCCCATATACCTCTTACTCTAACTGTAGCTACAACTAAATAATGATCTGATATATCAGTTGCCCCTCTGTAAACATGTACATCCTGGAGCCTACCCATCAACCTTTTATCCACCAATACATAATCTAACAAACTACTTTCATTACGTGCTACATCATACCTTGTATATTTATTTATCCTCTTTTTCATAAAATATGTATTACTTATTACCAAATCTCTTTCTACACATGGCTCAATTAAAGGCTC